TTGCAATTAATTCCCAGCTAAATAAACACACACATGCAATAATGTCGCAATCATCCGAAACTAATGAAAGTTTATATTCGACTACGAGTGCACGAAGCCTAAAGGGACCACGCAATGTAATTTTTCTAAATACCACATGTATCCTTGAAAATAATACTATCCTTGAAATTGCACCGTTGCGTCTCATTTTACCTCATTTTTATTTTTGTTAATGCCATGTTAATGTTTTACTTAATGTCAATGTTTAACTGTACTACCCATGAGTGCACACCAATGTAACTGTCTCAGATTTCCCAATTTATGGACAAGTATATAAATTTAAAGGGAAGATACAACATTTACAAACATCACAAAACGAAATGATCAAAGTATCACGAAATACCTTACTAGATTGTTAGGGAATGACAGTCTAAATCATCCTGTAAAATCGTGGCTCCTGGTGTACTGTCATTTTTAAGGAAAATGGTATTCTTCCAATACTGGTTGGCCGACCAGCGTTGGAGATTACTGGCTCTTTTTCAAAAACTGCTCCTAATTTTTCATAATAAGTTATTGCACGTATTCTTTGCAATTGATTTCACACCTGTGAAGGGGTACCAGCCTGCTAGACTGATTCTCTGACCTTGCAGTTCCCTAAAGTCCATAAATTGCTCTGTTTCATCGTAAGCGAGGTCAGGGAACCAGACTACAAGTTCATGGAAAGATTTCCATATAAGAAGTTCACTAATTTTCCTCTGTATTGGCTAACAAGCCCCCAGATAGCAATTTCATGTCATCAAAGTCAATTTGAGCAGTGAGAAAATACAAGCACTTTCTTAGAAAACACTTAGAATTGTTCAGTCCAATCTCATAGGGTTTGGACACAGGGTGTTGAGTGAACTTCGTATATGGAAATCTTTCCCAAGTTCATGATTGGATTTCTTGGTTTTTTTCCAGCATCTACAAGCCCAAAACGTGAAACAAGTCATTTCAACAATATGTGACCCGCTCCGCAAAAATGAGTCTGTTGTGGCAAAACTGACATTTTGAGTTAACTACGTTAATAAAATGGGAATGAAATAAGCTTTCTTTTGGTATATCACGGACCTCTATAGGACATTTGGTTGCACTGTTGGACTTGTTTCATTCTGTAAAGTTTTTGCAAAGCTAGAAGTGTCTCAATGGAGAAAAAAGGCTTTGAAAAATGACAAATACACTGTAACTAACCAAGAAAAGCACCAAAGATTCATATTTTTGTTCTTTTTCTTACAATATTTACATTTCTGTGTAAGATATTTGAACTAAAACTATCAAACAACCAAAATAAAACAAAAACAAAAGATTCAAATTTTGAGCAAATTTTTACTGTTTCCATTTCAAAATGGCAAAAGCTTGAATTCAAATTATGCGACATCAGACTCATTTTTGCAGAGCGGGTCACATATTTGCTATAATATACATGTAGGGCCTACTAATCCTCCAAATCCATTTATTTTTAAAAATGGCAGCAAACGCAAATGTTGTACATACATTCCCTTTAAAACCCCCTAGGCCCTTGTTGCTTACAACCATCCTCAATCCTCCAAAATCCTCCAAAAATTTTCAACTCCGCCTAAATTTTTCAAAATTGTCAGACAGTCCTGCCTCAAAATGCATTCATCTTCAATCCTCCAAAATCCTCCTCATCCCAAAACTTTGCACTCGTGTTTAAATGAAGGATAACCAACGCCAAATCCTTCAAAATCATCAGACAGTCCTGCCTCAAAATGCATTCATCCTCAATCCTCCAAAATCCTCTTGTGCTTCATTCACCATTCATCCTCAATCCTCCAAAATCCTCATGTGCTTCAATCACCATTCATCCTCAATCCTCCAGAATCCTCATTTGATTCAATCACCATTCATCCTCAATCCTCTAGAATCCTCCAAAACCGCCAGGAGGATTTTGGAGGAGTGAGGTGGGTTAGGGTTAAAGGAAGGTTTTGGGGGTTCAGGTTTTTTCTTTTCTCTCTTGCAATACTTGCATCAGGCAGGCAACTGGGAATTTAGGAAAAAAAGAGGAAATTCCAGACCACACAAGACTTTGTACAGTGTTTTTCAATTTGTAACAGCTTTCATGAGAAGTAAAAAGCGCGGAAATCAGTGGATCAGAGGAAAACTTGCAGGCCTGTTGCATTCACAAGAATTTTCCAAAGGTGACAAGGCAAGTTTCAGTTTCAGAAAGAAAAATTCAGGAAGTATTTAAGACTGACACCCACTCCATGTATTTTATATAATTGCCTCCGAGACAGGGTGCCAGACGTACAGCAAGGAAAGTCCCATTAATGATGACCTGACCTGACATTTTCAACCTCAACGCCCAATTTTTCCTCTTCTTTAAAAATAGATCATATCACATTGCACAATTTGTAAATGAAGTACGTGTACACACAGACATTGAAAGTTCCTTCTGGCCATATGTATCAGGGGTTAAGGGCTGCTGGTTTCGATATGAGATATTCCTGGGCAAACCCACATCCTATTGGGCTAGATAATAACAGTAAATGTGCTATCTGACTATACGCATCGCAAAACAGCAGACACCCAGTGGAATGAGTCACTATGACAACAATCAAAACACTGCATTGAAAACTTATTGCCAAAATATTTATGAATGTGGGCAGACTCTGGACAAACAACTGAATGGGAAAAATTTGAGGCTATTTTGTTCATTATTTAATACGCGTGGATTCAGATATCATGCAAAGCGCAAACTAATTTATTTGAGAATTTTACTTTTTAATTTTAACGTCTGACCAGAAATAAAAAATACCAGAGACATGGCAACCATGGTGGATATCAATGCTTTTTCAGGTTTACGTAGATGAGAAACATTTGGCCAACAAAATTCATTACATTAAGTTACATGTAACTCAAAAAAATAATCTGAAACTGGTATGATGTACACAATTTTTTATATGGATGGGATTTTATTCACTTGTCATTTCAACCAGATTAAAAAAAAACAATACATGGTGTGTGAGTCAAAGCTAGGAATGAACTCCCATTTTAAAGGGAATATACATCATTTGCTTTTGCTGTAATTTTCAGAAATGGATGGAATTGGGGGGTTGGAAAAATATAGCAAATATAGTTACAATGACTTTTTTTAGGTTTTGGGTTCGAAAATGCTACAAAAACCAAGAAAAAACAATCAATTTTCTGTAGTCTGGTTCCCTGACTCCATATCAGAAGAAACAGAGCAGTTTACATACATTGGGGAATTGTAAGGTCAGGGAACCAGTCTAGCTGGCTTGTACCCGTCCATAGGTGTGTAATCGATTGCAAACAAGTGCAATGGTCAATTGGGGTCAGTATTTGAAAAAAAAGCCAGTTTTTTCCAACGCTGGTCGGCCGACCAGCGTTGGAAATTGATACAAAAATACCACTTTTCTTGAAAATGACAGTATACCAGGTGCCATGATTTTACAGGATGCTTTACACAGTCATTCACTAACAGTCCAGCAAGGTATTTCAAAATGATTTGGTAGTTTTATTTTTGATGTTTGCAAATGTTGTATTTTCCCTTTAAAGGTAATTAATTCGCAAACATTAACCCTAATTCCCTAGGCCTTTTTGCTAGGATGTAGCCTCAATCCTGCAAAATCCTCCAATTGGCCTCATGGAAAAATAGCATATAGCCTCAATCCTGCAAATTCCTCCATCATTTCTTGAATATGGTCCATGGAGGGGTGACCACTGCCTGAATCCTGCAAAATCCTCCGGCTATGACTGTCAATAGGCTGAGGCAGAGGCAGTGACATCCTGGAGCAGTGCGGAGGATGTCAAGTATAATCAAGGACTAAATTTATGCATGGCTGAGCATAAACAACACAAGGTCCGGCCCAAGACCTTGACACAGTGCGTACTCCGAAATTCGCAACGCACTTTTGCCATGTAACCTCAATCCTGCAAAATCCTCCGATTTGCAAAAAGGATTTTGGAGGATTCAGGGCGGTTAGGGTTAAGAAACAAAAGTAGGCCTACCAAATTATTATGGAAAACCTAATACTAGTCTCAAGTATCCTGTGAAATCATGGCACCTGGTGTGCTGTTATTTTCAAGAAAAGTGAATTTCTTGTATCAATTTCCAACGATGGTCGGCCAAACATTGCTGGGGGGAATGACTTTTTTCAAATACTTCCCCCAATTTACCACATTTAGTTAGTCAACATTTTGTTTGCAATCATGAACGGGTTTAAGCCAGCTAGTTTGGTTCCCTGACCTGACAATTCCCCCAATGTCTATAAATTGATGTTTCATCTGAAGTAGAGTCAGGGAACCAGACTACAAGAATAGCATTTTTTTCTTGGATTTTCCACACAAAACTCAAACTTTTTCAAGTAATTTTGGGATACAACAAATTGAGCCAATGGAACTCTACTTATCACTTCAGTCAAACAAATTTCTTTTCAAAACATTCTTCACATGCGTGTGCACTTGCCATTTGTATAATTCTGAAGCTCGCACAGGACCTGAGATCTCACAATGGAGTTTCATATACATTTTATGGGGCGCCAGTCTTTTCTTGACAGCTTGGCTCAAACTTCAAAGCTTGGCAAATACGTATAGACAAGAAAAGTAATCAATCTAAAACATGACATTTTGGCAAAACCTGGCTGCATGTGGTTGAAATCTGTTCTTTACTCTTTTACTTTTTCACCTTGCCTTCTAAAAAAGTATATAAGCGTGCTCCACAGTAGAAGATGCTTGTACAGAAAAAAGGAACACAACACCCTTACAACATAAACTGTGTAGAGGACAAAGTGAGTGCCCTTTACTGCACTCTATTTACAGTGCGGCTTGGACAAACACACAGAGCCCTACTGCAAATTCTGAAATTCAGCCGTAGTCCCCTGTTACACAATGCTCTTAAAATTCCACTGTCCACACTGTTGACGATGAAAATATAAAGGAGAAATAGTCCAAAGCAGGCTGTGCCATCCACAGCCAAGGATTAATACCATGTAAAAATAGCTTACCCTTGAGCGCGACATTGGGTTCTCTGGGTCCAAGCCTGGCGCGATGAACAAGTAGCCACACAGGAGAACCTTCTTGGGTTTCTGGGTAACAACAACAAAAGGATAGAGTTTTGATTAGGATCAACGATTCCTCGATCACTGTGCCTGTTCTTCCTTGGCTAAATTCAAACAATTTGCAGAAATTTAATCTTGGGCTTAGCAAGGAGAAATTCAAGTATAAACTGAAAAGCACTCAGAGCGCAAAAAACTCCGCCAAGGCTAAACAATTCCCTGTTATATTGTAAGTACACCCAAAAGAAATACTCGCATAAATGGTGAAGAATCCTTTACAAAAATCCTGGATCCAGACCCAGATCCAGATCACTTCCAAAATCTAAACGATTTGTACTTGTACCAAGAACCATCCCTACAAGAATGTTTATACTTTTTGAGTTATCTTGTTAACAGACAAATCAACAAACTAACCAAATCCGATGAAAACATAACCTCCTTGGCGGAGGTAAAAATAATCAGGAACTTAGTTGTAGACATCCATTTACCATTCAACTCAAGGGATCTAAGATTGTTTTCAGTTTTCACCTTGATCTGAATAAGAATCTACATGTAGCTGCTGTGTACAGTGTACCAACCATAGAGCTATATTAAATTACTAGAGCGTTAACTCCTCATTCTTGCGCACGGAGATGCTTTGAAGCCTTCCTGGGCGCAGACATTTTGAATTCATGTGCGTACTTGTAGAACATAATGAAATTAGATGGATTGAATTTTGAAAGTGTTCTCTACATGCAAAGCGCAAGTAGAACATACGCAAACAACTTAAGCGCGTCATGACAGTTCAAGAAAGTCATGGCAAAAAGCATCTGCAGCAGAGGGATGCGCACGCATTGCGCTGTTTGCGTAGAGCAAAATGACACGCTCATTTGCTGATCGTGCGTGTCGGTTTTGGGCGTATTGGCTTCGATGACGCACAGGTATGGAATACAAACGCAGATATGCAAATAGCAGTACAAATTTTCTAGTTCTCCATAGGTTTGTGCACAAACATGGATGCGCCCATCAGGCATTACATACATCGAGTTAGCGCTCTAATAATTTAATATAGCTCTATGATACCAACTGAATATTGTTAGAATTACACAATGTACATTTAGGTTGTCACTACATGTACATTTTTTTCATTCATAAAACCACACAAACTGCTAAAATAACATTCTCATCTGTTCAGCAACTTTGAAAGTAAGGAGCTTACACTTATAGGTGAGAGTTGATTGTGTTGAACAACGCTGTACTACCTGTACGTGCACTTCACACAAGGCTTGCGTGTTGTGTCTTGTACTTGAACACAAAAGACCGACGATCAACAAAATAAGGACAAAATGTCCTTGAGACCTTGAGCAATGTGTTCAATTTCAGGAAAAAAGGTTACAACCTGTTATGTTCTGGTGTACCCACATGTAAACATAAATGTACATTGTTTGTATCATGTACAGGTATGTACATGTAGTTCATGTTATTAGTGAACATGACCTGATGTGCACAACGCAGGTAAGCTTAGCTGATGTTTTTATCACATTGCATAAAATTTGCATGAATGATGTACAAATGTACGCGTAGGTCTGGTCCACGTACACACTGTAGATAAACACAGAAACATACATATGAATATGAATTGCTCTGAAACAAACAAGTTGTACAACGTTCTACATGTACACAATGTAAATGATTTCTTTATGGACATAAAACAGAGTATTGTTTTGAAATTCTGGAGTTACAGAAGCAAGCCCTAGAATTACTGATAACACCAACAACTGAAGCACATTTTTTTGCTAAATTGTGCTTATCCATCCATGATTTACAGCTTTGCCATCAAAATGTGGGGCAGGAGAAAGCATAAGAGTGCATGAACATTTATAATTTAAATCCAACTGTCTGACATGCTGAATGATACCAACCATACAAAAGCAGAGCTGCACGGGGAACCTGAAAGACTATACAAGACAAAATACAGCCAGGGGTCATGACCCCTGCTCCAACAATAAATCTTGCTACAGATTTAACTGACATCACGTCCCGATCCTAGGCAGCATATTAGTTTTCTAACACTGAAATACTTCAGCTATTTGTCATATATGTGCATGTGCATATTACATGAAGTTCTATGGGAATTCCTAATGGATTTTCCATATGTCTTTCAAGGAACAGGAATGAATCATACAAACTGTGTGTGTATCGATAATTCTCATATTGCAGTGTACAAACTAGTACAATTCACAGCATGCCTATGAAATGATGAACTAAACATGAACATTTATAGAATAATCTAATTTGTGGAAATGTTCATGGATGTCACTTTCAATGTGTTAGCCTAGGTTTTACATGTTTTTGCAAATTGTCAGTCACTCTTTGCCTTGTTTTATTATTTATATTCTGCAAATATACTAAGGTTTAAGTCTCTTTTTTAATCAAAAAATTAAACAGCTTTTTTGTGAGACAAGAAAGTGTTAAACACTTTCTTGTCTCAGTTTCTTAACTTTTGTTTTAAATTCCATATATTAAATTAACGTGTATTCACTCCAAACCCCACTCCCAAAAGTACAATGACCGATTTCCAATTTTAAACTACGTTTGTTTATTTTTAGCCTTGTTTCCCTGGGTTCTTCAATCAGTTTACTAGTACGGTGTTGTAACAAACTAGTCACCCTTAACAATTTAAGCCTTTAGCATCCTGGTTTTAAGGCCATGGTCAAACAAAGCTATACAGCTTAAAAAGTATACGTGTTATTAAACTCTTCCAAGGGGTGTTTGACAGGGAATTCCAGTTGACATTTTCCTTGACATTGTAAAGGGGAGAATTCGACCAGATAAGAAAAACGACACTACTCAGACTATTAAAAAATGTATCTCCTTTTACTCCTGTCATCAAACTTAATTAAGGAAAGGATAAATGCATTTTCCTTGTAAGACTCTTGTTATTTATTGTTTTTAGTGGTTCTGCAGGCAACACAACTTATTGAATAAGCAACATGTTTCACAGTAACATGCGCCATCTTGTTCCCTTGGCAAAACAACATGCGTTGCTGAGCATGCATGTGAATCCAAAACTTTTGCACTTCCAAGTCATCATGCGTTCATTCTAATATGCGCTCGCATCTAGCAACACTTGTTCTTTTTGCCCCTTATACAAGATGGCGTATATTGCAGTGAAAGTGCTAAAATACCATATTGAAGGAAAGAATGTTGCAACCTGACACTGCTTTTTTCTTCATATATCATCTCAATGAGGGTCAGTCATTGAAGAAATGATAAGACATGAATCTGGGACTGAGAAACATTTTCAATTTTGTCCGGAAATACTTAAAAATTTTCTTGACTCTCCATAGACTTTGTACACAACTGCTGAAATTGCGCCAGGTTGCAACATTCTTTCCATATTGAATATCGGCAGGCTTAATTCGGTAGAAAGAGGGCAGGGTTTGTATTTATGAGGAAAATTATGGGGTTACTAAAATGATGACAGCGCCAACATCAGCGCACGTCTAAACAGTCAAGAAATACACACTTTCTTTCCGCCCACTAATTTAAATTACAAAAACGTAGAGTTAATCTAAATTTTTTAAAGAAAACACTGCCTGGGGCTGCAAAAGTCATTTTGGAAAATTTGACAGTCATTTGCAATTTCATTTTGAAACATAGTCCGAGTAACTTGGACCCAACTTATCGCCTTTTCAACATTCGGATATGGTCTGGCGATAGTAGGGTCCAAGCTAATCCGTGTATGCCGAGCAACACAATTTTGTCCTTGACCCAAAAACCCAACATTGCCCAACAAAAACATCAGATTTCGCCCTCAAAATGGCCTACAAATTACTAGATACGCCACCTAGGGTAAAAGTAGACATCGATGATTCAGATGGTTGTACTGAAGTTTACTTACAATCCAGATGAAAAGTGAAATTTCCCGTTCAATTCCGAGAGCTCCCCTCGCGATCGTGAGGCCGTTTTGAGGTTAAAATCTGATGTTTTTGTTGGGCAATGTTGGGTTTTTGGGTCAATGAAAGAATTGTGTTGCTCGGTATATATGGATTAGTACTTAGCCCAGGTTGGACTCCGTTGTGTCTTAATGCAATGACTGTACACTTTGTGACGTTTGTCATGTTTGTGTCATAAATTACACTTTATTATCTTTTAAAAAAGCAGTTACGTTCCATGCCTTCAACATTGATTAATAAAAATAAAGTACATACATTGCTACCGTCCCCGCCATCCAAATCGTGTGCCTCCCTGGTCCTGAAGCAGTTCTGGCACTTGGTCTTGTTGAACATGTTCGGCTGGAAGTTCTTGCATAGCGAAGTGGCGCGGGTGAGGTTCCCCTCGCCGCGCTTCGGAAAGCCCATCATGGTGGCACGAAAACCGGCGGGTTCCCGGGTCTCTCCACGTCAAAAAAAAATGGCCCGAATTGGGCAATGGAGTCACCTTCTAGAATCCCAAGACCGAAGTTCTATCATAGGTTAACCGGTCGTTCACATAAAAGCGAATGTTCATGTAAATATCCACTGCAAATGCACACGTATTAAAGTGATTCCAATCACGTGTTTGGCGGTGGTGCTGTGGTTGTGTGCTGGTAGCGCGCGATACACGCTCAAAGATCAACAAGCGTTGACTGCGCTGTCTCGCAAGCAGAAACCGGTGAAAACTTGCCACGTTTAATCCCAAAAATTCACGACCCAAACTGGCCCCCAAAGTGGACGGAAAGGGTTTGCTGAACGCCTAGGCCATGTTTTCACACGGCACACTTGTCTGCTCTGCATTTTACGGGCGGAAACGCGGCTTCGAAATCCTGAATTATCGACATTTCTTGAAGTTGTCGAGCTCCACCATCGTGACACCGGCGGCGAATTCAACGAAAATGGTAAATAATAGTCTGGTCTCCGCGTGTACACGCGTACATGTACTAACTGCGTGGTCGTAAAAGTAATCGCGTTGGTGGTGGGCGCTGCACCAGACGTACATGTACTACATCGCGTTCTCATGCAAATTGCCGTCTGTATTGTACGTACTGTCACAAAAGCATTTACACATTATTGATCAATTACGCACCGTGTACCCTGTGAAAGAGGCGTATCCATATCACCCACGTAAAGTTGAACCTGTGGCGATGTAACTTATTTAAGTTATTATGATATCTATAAAAAAAAAAAATCAGGATAATCCCTTTAAAAAAGTTACATTAACAACTTGAAAATGGGAAAAGTAAAAAAAAATATTAAAAAACCGGTACTCAAAATAAAAAAGGCTCGTTTGCGGTTATGTTTTGTGCAAACAAAGTTGATACAATTTTATCATTTCAAACTGCCGAGTGAAGTACAATGTACATTAAAGTGCCGAGGAAAATGTAACGCAGTTTTCGGAAATCTATTGTTCCGTGTGCGGAAGTTTTTAACCACTGGAATGCCAACCTCTGTCCACCCCGGCGACAAACCATATCCGCTTTTTATTTGTCGGAAGTAATCAAACAGTTTACGGTATGTTTCCTACATTTTTTCTCTTTTTTTTGCAGAAAAGGATGTTTGGTTTTCGTAATAAAGTCAACATTGAGCGGTTGACAGATAATTAAGGACATTTTTGTTGTTATAAATGATCTTTTTTGTTCGCTTGTTTAAATAGACTTTGTTGTAAGGTTTTTAAAGGGAATATATACATGATTGGCTTTTGCTGTAATTTTCAGAAATGAACTATTTTAGGGGTTAGTATAATAGATCAAATATTGTTAGACTGACATGTTTGAAGGTTTGTGTTCGAAAATGCTGGGGAAAAAACAAGAAAAACAAAAATGTTCAAGTAGTCTGATTCCCTGACTCCACTAAATATAAAATGGATCAATTTACAGATGCCGGAAACTTGTAAGGTAATGGAACCAGTCTAGCCAGCCTGCACCCGTTCATGAACATGTAACCAATAACAAACAAAATTTGGACTGGAAAAAAATGGTTAATTTGGAGCAGTAGTTGAAAAATAGTTAGGTTTTTCCAACGGTGGTCGGCCGACCACCGTTGGAAATGTTTACAAAAATACCATTTTCTTGAAAATGACTTCACACCAGGTGCCATAATTTTACAGGATGCTTTAGACTGTCATTTACCAACATCCTAGTAAGGTATTTCGTAAAAAATAGGTAGTTTTATATTTCGATGTTTGCAAATGTTGTATATTCCCTTTAAAGTGTATGATGAAATTTTTTTTTTCTGTTTCTTTTTCGATTTCTATCATCAAAAATGTTGCAGGCAAAAGCTTGTGTGTGTTGTTTTGTAAACTTATCTTTATATCTTTCTGCACACCCCATGCTGACAATTATGTTTAGATAATTTGTTCACAGTTTTTAATGTTTACATGTGTCGCCACCCGTATGCGTCAAATTCCCTTTTTTTGCTTTTTCAGTCTTTCTTTGATTTTATTGGTCTGTTTCATTTTTGTCTTGTATCATTTGTCTGAGTCCAATTATCATTGGCTGGCAGCCAATAATTCGAATTTTGTGAAGAAATAACTCAAGTAATAAACGTCAGTGAATGTTGTTGTTAACTGTCTCATATCATTCAAAAGTGAATAACTTTTATATTGTATGGAAAATAGCAATTGAAATAAACAAATCCATTTTTCGAGATGAAACTCGAAAATAGCACGGGAAATACATCTTTAATAACATCCGAACAAGAAATAGGATAGTTAAACCATGGAGCTATAGCTCCATGGTTTAACACAAACTGGAAAATAAGGATAAAAAAATACACTGAAGCTGAATTGAAAGTCATTTGGTTTTTCTGTTTCCAATTATTCCAAGGGAAAGGTACTTGGTACTTGGCTGGTTCTCCTCCATAGGACTCCACAGGGAAGTTTTAACAGGAGGTCCTCCAAATGTATTGCAGCAGTCGAGCTTCTGTTTTTTTTTTCTGGCCTCAGAACCTGGCCTCCTCGAGCTCTTTGTATCCGACTGACTGACTGACTGACTGACTGACTCCCCGACTGACTCCCCGACTGATTGGGTTCGTCCCCCCCCCCCCCCGATCCGCCCTTGCCTGAACTTCTTTGTTCCCTCTCATTTTCTTGGTGTTGTCTCCTCTCATTTTCTTGGTGGCGCTATATCAATATGATGGTCACTGCTGCATTGGTTCACCCATTCCTTTGCCAGACCGCCATGCTCATACCATGGAGCTATAAACACAGTTCCTGCTTTGTTTTTGCAATACCAGCTCAGTGCGGTCCTTTTCGGTACAGAAACATCGAATTTCGAAGTACCACATTCGCATTTTTGAACATGATGTATCTTTCTTCTTTAGAGGTAATGCTGAAACAAAGCCGAGGTTTTGCAAATGCCGGTCTCTCGGATCATGGTAACGGAAGCACTGTGTCTGGTACCCTTTGTAGTGTATGCCGCTTTGAGTGGCAAAAATATAGAACAGGGTTGAGTCATCCGACTGAACGTGCACTTCCTTTATTTTGATAATGATTTGTGAGGGTGATGAGATGCCGGTAAAATGACGGACTAGGCCTATATGGTCTACCAGCAGAAAAAAATGTGAGAATCTTTAATTAAAAAAGCCTACGCATGAACGGTATATCCATCCATCTTATTCGATTTAAAATCAGAAACAATATGATGCCCCGCTGAGATCGTAGATACTTGGACATTTTCACTGTATTTGGAGATTTTACCCGCCGACAACAACAGCACTCTGCGCCGACGTCCACCGCGCAACATTTACATTGTCACCACCCTGTGTTACTGTGCTGCTTCGTCCCGGTGTCAAATTTAGTTGGACTTGGACTCGCCTTGCTGTATGGTTTAAGTAAAATGAAGAAATCTTCTTCGTCACAATGGTAAGACTGCACTATGTATGCATTCCCTTTCAGTTCTTCAACTGACTGCCTTGGGTTTATTTATCAAAAGTCATGAAACTATTGTTTTTAAAAACGAAGTGGCTATTGTTACGGCAGTCGTTGTTTAGCGCCCTCTTCGATACTTTTTTGATACGCACGCAGGTATATAATTATTTGTTTCCACAAGATTTAGCGAGCAGTGTGACAGCTCAGTCGATAGAGGGTAGGATTTTGCACCGCGAGGTTGCGGGTTCGAATCTCAGTTTTGCACTCGAATTTTTTTCCTTTTCTAACCTGAGGCTTTGGAGGATTTTTTTTAAAAGGGAAATAAAGTCCGAATTTCATAACGTTCAAATTCACTTTTTTCCTTCTAATTTTATATTTTCTTGTCATGTTTTTATAAAAGTTGCAGTCTACCGTAACGATAGAAAATGGGAAATGCGTTACGGCTGCCGTAACAATAGCCACTGCGTTTTAAAAATCACAATTGATTACTTTTGACATTAAATTAAAATAACATTAAATTTGTATAAAGTTGATTATCAAGTTATACTAGCTGCAGTTGAATAAATTCCTTTGAATTAACCACCTTGCTTTATAATCTGAGTAACTAGGACTCTACGAATCGCCTTTTTTTAACGTTTGGAGATCGCCCGACCATCTCCAAATGTTAAAATTTTCAATTCGTAGAGTCCTAGTTACTCGGACTACTTGCTTTATAGGAGACGAGTTCACAATAATGTAATTACCATCAAATAAAATTAAAAACTTTTTTTTTCTTTTTTCTTTTTAAATTTGCCAAAACATACTGCACAGTAATGCACGTATACAAATCCAAATAAACCAGTCACAGATCACTTCAGCACGGTTTTGATTTTTTTGAGGTAACTTTTGGGGTGGAGCAAAAATAAAGATGATGATTACTGCGATGCATAGTCCCATAAATGTGACGGAAATACTGGACTACCTCCATATTTAACGTCACACATCCCACATGTGGTATAAGCACGGAGGGTCCCGTTGCTGGGGGAGCCGAAAATTAATTAAAGATCAAAATGATTTTGTCAGCAGAAAATCAACCCAGCTATAGTATGACTGTTAAATATCACAAAATCGTTAAATTCAGTACCTTCAGAGGTCTAGTTATCCAAAAATCATTTTGGATAACTCTCATATACAGTATTGCGAGTCCCAAATTTTCGGACTTCCGGCTGGCCTGACCCAGATACATGGAATTTAAATTCCTGACTGTAACAATGTGCACATAGGTGGATTTACATGGCATCAACTGAACAGTTGCATATATATCGGAAAGACTGTTGCAACCTGACGCCACTTTTTATCATCATATAGTATCTCAATGAAGGTCAGTCATTGCAAAAATGTTGAAAAGACATGAATCTGAAACTGAGAAACATTTTCAATTTTGTTCGAAAGTACTTTGAAAATGCTCTCGACTCTCCATAGATTTGATACAGAACCAAAGAAGTGGTGTCTGGATACTACATTCTTTCCCACATGGCTACCAAAAGATACTGTTCAAATATACAAAAATACCAGCCATTAGAATTATAAGAAGAGTGCAGGAGTCAACTTTGGAATGTAAAGATACTCTTAAGGACTAAAATGAAAAAGGGGCCTGTAACTACACAATTGCCAAAATAGTGCTATATCAACAGTGATGTCAATGATTGTGCCACTAACTCTGTGTAACATTATCATTTTCCCCCTAAATTGTACAACAGTTATTAAGATCCTGTTGCCAAGTTTTTCAATTCATATACCTTTTCCCCCATCTCTTGCAGGTTGATGAACAGTCCAGCCAAGAAAGGTTTCCAGTACAAGCCCACAGTGGTGGAGCATCTAGCAAACTGCATTACACACGGGGTTTGTACTAGTCCGAAAATTTGAGACTCTCAATACTGTGTATGAGGGTCCCAAAACTTAAGGTATTGAAAACATGCAATACAAGAACATAGACTGGCACCTCAAACAACCAGTTCAACACCGCTGCAGTACTGCATCAATCAACTGTGCCAAAAGAAACATGTGGCATGAACCGGGAACTAGTCTCTATTTACTACACATTTCTCCATAGTCCGCCACCAGACTAATGACACTGAATGAAGAGGTCAGTCTTTTCAAATAGTTTGTCCGTGGTTGGACATGTACCAGTTTACCGAGTCTAGTCTTTAGCCTCATTTTGAAATCACTTGACTTCCCTCTCATGTGCAAAATATTGAAGAAATGTCTCCTTTAAAAATTGAATTAGAGTGGTTGGTGAAATATTGAAGACCATTTGGAATTTTTGGAGAAATTTGCTGGCTAAAGTGTGAGCAAAGTTGGCCTGATATAGTTTTGCACGTTTCAGAGCACTCCAGGTCCCAGTCTGGGTCTGTACATACTGAAAACTAAACCGATTTGGAGGCAAATTAAATGTTTTACACCAGACTGGGACCTTGAGTGTAGAAAAACATGCAAAGCAAAATCAGGCCAACTTTACTCACTCTTTAGCTGACAAAATTCTCAAAAATTATCATGAGGCAAAGACAAGGCCCTCAGTATTTCACCAGCCAAGTTTGAGGTCTCAATTTAATTTTGTAAAAGGAGACTTTTCTTCAACGTTTTGCACCTAAGAGTGAAGCCAAGTGATTTCAATTTGAAGCCTAAGGCTAGACTGGTACATGTCCAACTTTTTGAAAAGATCGACCCTTCAGTAGTCTGGTGGCATGACCTGATAAATATATACAGAGAATGTAGAAATAAAGACTGGGTACCAGATGTTTCTTTTGACACAGTTGATTGATGCAGTACTAAAGGGGTGTTGGACTGGCTGTTTCATGTGCCAGTCTATTTTCTTGTGTTGCATGTTTTCACTGCCTTAAGTTTGAGGATTCTCATAAACAGTATTGAGATTCCCAGATTTTCGGACAAGTTTTACATGAGCCCTGGAAACACATGTGTCACATTGGACGCCTGTGATTTCATTGCTGTGGGATCTGAACAATGTCTCTAAAGGCCAAATAAAATAACTAGTTTCTCATCCAAACATTTTGAATAAAAGAGGGTGCAGGCACTTTTTGTTGTTACCAATGACGTATCCAAGATGGTGGATGGTCTTTTTTTAAATACGTCCATCGCTTTCATGTAATTTGTTTTTCAAGACGACAGATGATGTTTTTCCCAAAATCGTCATCACTTTTCTAAGACTAGGTTGCTTTTTAACCTCAAAATGGCCACTCATTCATGTTGGAAACAAATACGTGTATTAACCATCCTATGCAAACATACATTCTGTGCCAAGTTGTCCTTGCAGTCAAAAGTGACTGTTTCAACAGTTAAGAATTCCCAGCCTACATAAACCAGGATTTACTGCCTTGGACTGCTTAAGTAACTTGATACAGCTGTGTTTGACTCCTGGAAAGTGATACAACAGCTGTGACCACAGTGCTTGCTTTTCATATGATCTGACTGCTGGTGACTAGCCTTTGTTAAAAGTAAAGCAGGGGAATTGGAAGTGAATTTTGACTGTCCGTGACTGCTTAAATAGCAGGAGGGTTAAGACAATAGATATTTCTGATAGTGAAAATATCAGAAAATACGGCAGATTTCGCTGTTAAAAAAAGCGAAAGAAACAAATTGATGCAACAAGAAAAAAGATACAGATGGGGTAGAGAAAATGGTATTTTTTATTTAGCCTGAAGTACAGTATATGAAAAATAAACAAAAACAACTTTACCCCCACTTTTTATGTTGATACATTTATTCCTGTTTCCACATTGCAGTTGTGTCCACATCAGCATGGGCTTGAATGTTAGAATAGTCAATTTTAAAAAGTCCAATTTTGTATTTGTGTAAATGGTCTTTGGTCATTCTGTTGTCTGCTGCATTGTTCTTGGCAGGTCTGGATCCTACCCACCTTCTATGCAGGTCATGACATGATGGAGGCTGCCTCGACTGCTGGAGAGAAGGCTAACGCTGTGCTCTTCTGTGTAGCCTTGCTCAGCGTGTTTATCGTTTCCACTACCTTCCATTTGGTTGCTTGGTTCGGCAAGCAAGCGTAAGTGCGGATAATCCACAGAGGGGTGTGGCATAAATTGGGTGAGGGGGTGGGGGTGATGCCTATATGTTAAAAGGTAGAGTATTTCATTTGTCATTTGAGCATTTTGTTTCGTTTGAAGTAACAAAAGTGCTCAAAATCTAATGAAGGGTGCTGAACAACTAACCAGATGACGTTTCAGCTCAGTGAATGCTGTATATTCCGAGACAAACAGTATTCTAGGATCTTGATTTTAATTCAAAAGTTGCCGAGTCGTGTTTTGAATTGCGCCTAAAATCATCGTCTGGGACACGTTCTCATTCAGCCGATTGCAGCTATCGATGTTGCAGGCTGAAACGATGAACAATAGCAACCGCACTCGCACACCCATTAAGACTTCGCCACATTAAAAACGAACTAATGGCAATTTCCAAAATTTATCTTTAGATGCATCGTTGGAAATTACCTTCATTTATTGTTTTCTTCAAAATGACCGCATGCCAGAAAGAATCATTTCACAGGGAGTTTAGTGGCAATACTATCTTTAAACCAAGTGTGCTTTTGAACAATAATTTCATCAGTTACTTTTTTTGATAGCTGCAAATGATGTACTCTGCCTTTAACCGTTCAACGAAAAACCTCACATGTACGTGTATCCATTTACAAATTTTCTGGAACAGTTTAACAGAAAACAAATTTTCAAAATAAAACCTTGTTTCAATGTGACCTCCCTTCCAGTTTTATTTTACCATGAATCAAAAGTGACCTGCCTTCTGGTTTTTGTTTTCAAAGAATCATGGATGTTTGTAAACTTATAAAACAGCTTGAATTCTTGTTCATATCCAGGGAACATTAACTTACACACTTTAATTGTATATTTTCATTCATACACGATAGCTGTATTGTTCGGCCTAAATGCTAAGTTTTTAAGTTTTTTGTTAAATCTTAATATGGGGGAGATACCTTGGCGTAGCAGTACTTTCCTTGCCTTCCACTGCTGTGACCCGGGTTCGAATCCTGCGTAGGGCAATATGTGGATTGGGTTTTCAGTCCTTGCCTGATTCCGTGGGTTTTCCCCCGAATATATTTCCTGGGGTTTTCCTCCCACCTCTATAAGTTTTCATTCTTCACATTGTCTTTTCTTTACTGGGCCCCATGGGAGACCAGTGGATTCCACTGAATGGGCTAAGTTAAAATAAGTTAAAAGAAGAATTATAATTATTCTAGAGATTCTGGTGAAGCTTGTAACTCTATTTGTTTCATTCATTTTTATTCCTTCACTTTTCGTCCTTTTTCAGAACACTCAGGTTTTATCTTCATATCAGTGACAGAGCCATTATTTATCTCTTCATTGCTGCTTCCTACACACCATGGTAAAGATATATCCTCGTTCTAGATTATTACACCTCATACATATTTACGAGTCAAATGCACTTCTTTCATTGGTCGATGTTCTGGATCTCAGAGGGACAAATCAGCTGCCACCATGGGCGTCAATCATGGGGGGACAGGGGGACTCCCCCCCCCCCCAATTTTTGAAGGATTGGGGACACAATATCAAATGTTCCCTCAGATTTTTGAACTCATGTGTCTCATTTACAGGGCCCTATTATGTACTACAATGTATCTTTTGCTAAGAAAATATTGGTTAAAGTGGTCAGAAATTGCTTCAGATCTCACCACAGAGCATTTAGGATCAAAAATTTGGGGGGCCCTTAAGCGGGCCCCGAACCCCACGCCTATAGCTCAGAATAGCTGATTCAGTGACTCCAACCTTGAAAAGGATGATCAAATTATTATCTTTTGCTAAGAAGAAAATGGTTAAAGTGGTCAGAAATCGCCTCAGATCACACCACAGACCATCTAGAATCCAAATTTTTGGGGGGCCCTTAAGTGTGCCCCGAAGCCCACATCTTTAGCTCAGAGTAGCTGTTTCAGTGACTCCATTCTCGATAAATGATGTTAAAATGATGTCTTTTGCTAACAAAAAAGTTCAAGTTGTCAGAAATTGCCTCAGATCACACCACAGAGAGCATCTAGAATCAATTTTTGTTTGGGGCCCTTAAGTGGGCCCCGAACCCACGCCATAAGGGCTTCGCGCTCTAATTGTTCTGATCAAGATATGTCCCCCCACTTTTGAGAAGCGGTTGACGCCCCTGGCTGCCACAACATCTGGATGCACTGATGTAACGCCTACATCGTGGAGCCGGTGACATTGCTCAATGGCCTGACCGAGAACATTCGCAGATTTGACCAGATCCCACAAAAAAATTAATTAGAATCAGAATTTTTTTTTCAAGTTGCAGCCTACCATCCAAACTTGTGTTTAGTGTCAGTGTAAGATGTTGCACAGTTTTCGTGTTGTGGTCCAACCAAATTTTTTTCCTCACACTAAAATTGAACAAAGTTCATGTTAGGGCCTATATCTTACAATGTTTCAAAACATTTTTAGTTGCATTTCAAATTTTTTTTAATCAGTGGATGTGTTATAGAATGTTCTTGTTGTGACCTAATCTTTATTTATTTTTTTCACAGCAAAGAAGAAAATATATATTGTTGTGGCCTACTTCTTTAAAAAGTTTCAAAATTTTGTTAGTTGGTGCCTACCTTGTCAATTTTTTTTTAAAAGGTGATGGATGATTTTGACTTCCCACTGAGAGTGGAGAGTGAGAGTCAAAATCAGCTAAGGCACAGAGACCAGTAGTGTTGCACGTCTTGACTTCGTGGACTACCCTCACTGATGCCCATTTGCTTTTGCATGGATAGAGGCAATTGCAGAAAAGTGTCTTGCCCAAGGACACAACAGCAGTAACCCTCCACTTTCTCTTTTCAAATGCAAATTCTGAGAAAAACTGATTGAAAACGGTACCATGACTCTCACAGCACAATTTCCCTTTTTTATTCAGACAACGATTCCGAACGGCAAGACATAGGAGTTTGTGGGTTAATTTAAAACTTTTTTTCATCTTGACGTCATTTATCTTTGATTCTGAAAGGCTGACACTCAAGAAAGTGGGTGTGATCGGACAGAGTATATTCTGCGTAGTCTGGGTCTGTGCTATACTCGGTGTCATCTATTCCTACTGCTTCTATGAAAAGTGAGTAATCTCAACCAGTCATTTATATGTGTAATTATCCACTAAACCGTTGATGTCAACACATTTTTTATGTGACTCATTTTAAATAGGGGATTTCAACAAAGCTGTGCGTGATTGTGAATATGTTTTTTTGTCTCAACTTAACCCCATAAATCTGGTAACCCATTTTGTCAATAATGTTTTAGTATATTCAAAATCCAAATCTACAGACAAACCGTACATCATCTCCCATTATACATGCCTGAATAAATTCCCGGCATCTGATTGGTGGATCATTGATCACGTGTCATTGAATTATTCGTCCCAACTCACCGCCCAGCCATTCTGCCAAAATACAATCAGATGACGGGGATTTATTCAGGTGTTGTATAATGTACAAACATTGAATGGTTATGAGTGCAGTGGTAAAAATAATTTCATTTGGTGACGGATGGAATGTTCCATTCCAATCCACTTCGCCTCATGGCATAGAATATTCCTTTGTCACCTCATGAAGTTATTCCTACCATAGGTATTCATTATTTGTATTTTATATAACACCTAAATAAATCCCCACCATCCGATTGGTGGATCGTTGACCACGTGTTATTGAATTATTCATCCTAACGCACGGCGCGGCCGCACCACATAAACAGAAGTTCTGTTCCACGGTGAATAGAACTTTCATTGCACGGTTTCATTTATACTGCCGGTTGTGGCGTTGTAACATGAATCTGATTCGCAGGATGGCAAAATTGGCAGACCATACGTGAGAATCTCTGTTTGTGAGTCCCATAACAGAAGACGAAATATTGGAACTCGTAGGTGAAGCTGACGCTGCTAACACAAAGAAGCAAATAAGTTATGCTGCCAAACGATTAGACAAATTTGAATAAGATTGGTAGAACAGTTTCTAAAATAAATAAATTTGGATATGAAAGTTCTGAACTTAGTTGTGGAACAGTTTTAAACCGAGATAAATTGAATAGGATAGGCTAGTTCTGAACTTGTCGAACAGTTTTAACTCAAGAATAAATTGGATATTGAAAGTGAACCACCAGTTATTGCCATTGAAAAAGTGGAACATTGATGTAAGTACCAGGTGACAAGTCAACCAATCAGATAACAAGGATTTATTCGGGTGTTGCATAAAACAAATAATGAATGTTTGTGAGTGCAATGGTAAAAATAATTTAATTCGGTGACAGATGGAATGTTCCATTCCTCTCAGCTTTGCCTCTTGGAATGGAACATTTTCTGTCACCTCATGAAATTACCCTTACCCCTGCACTCACAAACATTCATTATTTGTATAATATACTAACCTCACTACTGTTGTAGTTAAAAGCAATCAACAAATTAAATAGATTTAAAAAAGAAAGACAGAACTGGAAAACAGAGAATGTGTTCTTAGTGGTAGATAACTCAAGTCTAACCACTTTTTTCTTATGACTATCTAACAAGCACAACTTGTTGACATAAAATCAAAGTACCCCATGGCTGGTGGAATACATTTCTCGTAGTTTGACCCCAAAAGAATTTCGGTTTCAGACCGATGACAGTTATGTATTAAGTTCCTATTGACTAGACTCTATAGAGTCGTTCCGAATGACCGCAACAGTCGATCAATGGATGATTGTTCCAGTAGTTTTTCCGGTAGAGTGATTTGTTCAGCATGACTCTAGAATAATCTAGATTCAAACAAGTGTAAATTCACCTTCACTTCATGTATCTACTGATTCGACAACACTACCCATTAAAGGCATATAGGAGCATTTGCTTTTCCTGCATTTTGTTTGTTGCAATAATAACACCACTCAAAATGTTAATAAGAATGTGCAAAACCTAACCTGTTGAAGTTTCAGCTCAGCGGATATTATTACACTTTCCGAGAAAACAGTGAGAGACCTTGCACAACCATTGATTATGAAACACGATTTCGTAAATGTAACGTTTTATTTCCAAAAACCAGTCAATTGATTTCTTCTATTGACAGCAAGCCAGGGTGTTTAGTACCAGTACGATCTGTAATCCAAGTAAGCTTTTTGATTATAATGTGGTAGGTTACTTTGGGATAATGCAAATGATCCTATATGCCTTTAACAGTTGTTGATGCCTCTGTTCCATACAAACATCCACTAAACCATATTGTTTAGTCAACCATTGTTTAGACTCACCTGTCTTTTTTTTGTCTAAAGATACAAACAACTAGAGACCGCCCTCTATCTTCTTCTCGGCATCGGTCCGTCTGTGGCTGTTCTTGATGTGGTGAGTTGTCTTTCCTACTAAATCCGCAAATATCAAGAAAGACAAGTGTTGAAGGATTACAGAAAAAAACATTGTAGATGCACTTTTACAAGCTATCAATGACACAAATAGGCGTATTTGAAACTCCTTTCTCTAGTTGAATGAACACCAGAACTGTGTTTCGAATGACGAGAAGCAACACGCGAACAGTGTTTGCGAACAGGATTTTCACTCCCCACTTATCGGGGAGTAAATGAAGAATGTCAAGAACAAAGATGGCGGGCTACCCCAACTTCCATTTGTTTTTTGTGCCTGAAATTGAAAGCTCTCATTTAGTGCATGCAGAATTTTAATGATGAAAAAATACAATTGTATTGATCACAGAGTGGGCTTGTCTTTACCATATTTATAGCTGTTCTGGGATTTAACTTATTTTCGTAAGACAATTAGGTCTCCCTTCTGCTCCTTTCGGCGTTGTAATATGGCGGGGCTGCCATCTTGAATTTTCGCCCAGCTGCCACTCCACACCCACTTCGGCGTTCACAATCAACAACTCGAGAACACAGTTCTTGAGAACGGGGTTCGAATACACCTAATATGTGTGGTGGTCCGGGAAAAACAAAAATTACAGTTTTCCGGACTTTGTTTTTTTTTGTAAGTTGATTGGCATGCGAAAAAATAAACAAGGGATAAACTTAGAATTTTGCTGGGAAATGAAATTATAAATTTCTAGGTCATTTTCCAATGAATTTATGAATGCAAAATTAAACTATAATTTTTTTTTTTTGACTTTCACTTGCATGTCCGAATGCACCTTGCCCAATATTAGTCCAGTTTCTAGGTATTCATTTTTTTCCAAACCAAAATACTAAATTAATGTATAGATCTTTAAATAAAGATTTCTTAAAGATTAAAAAACAAGCTCAATCGCATTATCTCAGAAGCTGCAGGCCAGCAAATTCGTGTTCATGCAGACTTTTTTTCTTATTTTATTTTTTTCACTTGGCTTTGTCGATGCAGCAATGTTCCAAAGATGGTATTTATGAACTAGCACTTGGTGGACTAGTCTACGTTCTTGGCGTTATATTCTTCAAGAGCGACGGCATCATCCCTTTCGCCCACGCCATCTGGCATCTGTTTGTCGCCGCGGGGGCGGGGCTTCACTTCTATGCCATCCACACCTATCTCATGGGCTCCACCGACAGTTTGGGGGAGGGGAAAGACGCATCCCACCCGGTTCACTTTATAGGCTCTTTCTGAATGGAGAGATGCAGTCGTAAGTGTTTATATTTTTGGCAAACTTAGCTTATGTATCAGGAGATTCTAACATCTGTTCAGTTTCAGGAACATCTGAGCATGTTTTACTGTCACTGCAAATTTTTTGTATCTCTGTTTTGAGTGATTTTGAGAAACACGCACAAGCTAAGTTTGTGGTAGTCTTGGTGCAAGACGTTCTTCGCAGGTTAATTCACGAGAGACGGTACACCCTTTGTGTACCGCACAGCAGCATGCTTGTAGCATGTTGTTCCGATAGAGGGCATACTGTTCCCATCCGCGAACCTGACTCGGTTGAGGAACGGCACCTGGTTTGTTGGCGTGTGTGCAAAGGGCGCCCTCTTTGGTGAGTCGTTGCACAGTCCAGTAACCTGTGCGCACTGAAACACCCCACCTCTAAGGACATCTTGGAACCAAGACTAACTTTGTGGTTGCTCTGTGTTTCCATTGGCTTCAGTCTTTCAACAAGGTTGGACAGTGATCCAAGGTCTTGTTCCCTAGCTTCAAAAATAGAAATTTAAGAGAATTGCATGTGTTATATTTACTGACCAGACTTATTAAAGATGATATGTGTAGACTAGTTCCCCGTCCCTCAGGTTGCAGACCAGTAAATAAACTTCCATAGACCCCAATGATAAATGCTCCCACTTCAGAAATTCGGGAAAAATACTCACAACTCTCCAAGGTGTTCGAGACACACATCAAATTAAAGCTTATTTCATCATCTTTCATTTTCTTTTCAATTTTCGGGGAGGGGGGGTGTCAACTGATGACTTTTTAGGAGAAATTTCCAACCGAAGATGATCACCCCTTAAAATAGTCCTGAAGCCCAGCGCCATTTTGAAAAACGGTGCCTACACTCCATTGCAAAATAGAGTGCTTTTAGGGCCCCAATTTCATCCAAATTGAATGGAACTACAAGCTCACAGTCCTGTGCACGGCTTCCACCCATATTTCTACAAACCCTCAAGTTCATGGCCCACAGTATGCTCAAATACTGAAGATTTTGAGGGCATGCAAATCATGATTTGGCAGGCGTAGGCAATGTCAGACCAATTTACTGGTCTGCACCCCTCAATTGTCCTTCGGACTTTGAATGCAGAGACAGGTAGCTAGCAATAAATCTTGAATGCAATAAGAGGTTTTCTTCCTATTGTATGCATATTGTATGCAGGACTTGAATCAAAAATCACGATAATGTTTGTGTGGAACCAACCTATTTCAAAATGGCAAAAAGGCTATGAATGTGCAATTTCTGTGGTAATGAGCTTTGATTTTTGCTGAATTCAAAAGTGTCTCTATCTGGCAACTATCAATGAAGAGAGGGGCACTACTTGTCAGTATTTGAAACCTATACAGTTGAAATGAATGAAAGTCACCATAGACACTGGTGATTTTGCCTACTGGTTGTGGCAAGACTAAGAGTCAGTTTTTTTTATAACCATGTGTTCAAGTATCATCCATGCATACAGCTGTGAATATCCTTTCAAAAGTAAACAAATCAACGCACAGAGATGATCCAATCAGTGGCTTGAAATGGGAGCTAGCTACCGGTGTCATATGAAAATCCGACTCACATGTCACAGGTCACTCTCCCATAATGATCCTAAAAATAGCATATTATTGTCCTTACGGATGCGCAATACTACCAATGAGTCCACATTTCATGGAGTCGGATATTCACGCTACACCGGTCCCCATATTTTATTGGGGGGGGGGGAGGGGGGGGGGGGAAGGGACCAGTCAATGATATGTGTTGCTCAGTTGTTGATTTTCTTGTTTAATGTTATCAATGGCAGTGTGTGATTTGTAATAGCAGTCTATTATAATAGTATTATATACTGTAATAAAAAAATTTTAAACAAATATCATGGCAACAGCAATTCTAAGTAAATAATTCTCTCAAGTATGCAGGTAGCATGCTTGTTGAATACTTTATTTTAAAGTATCTTCCACAAGACTGTACTTAGCTATCTTCTTCCAAAGCTCAAAACAAATTGCAGGCTCAGGATATTTAATGTTTTGACGACATTTTGGACAAATCATAAAATCCTGTCTGTATGATTGAAGCTAACAGGGTCTACCCGATGTTCCCCAATACCAATGTTCCCCAAAATCCTTAGGGTTAGGGTTGGGGAACATAGGTATGCACCCAAAGCTAACTAGTCTGTTGCAGTAACGATTAACAAACTATGCTGGCAAGTTGTATACGAACATGTTTGTTGGTAATTTCTCCTCACAATTTCTTTCATTGGTGGATTGTACTATGCTAAATGTACAATGTTACACTGGTATCTTGGTTTCTATCGTGCAATCTAATTGCAACCTCTGAAACTCTCTGGAAAATCTGTTTATGGTACAAACAGATCCACTTTGTAAGCAGACTGGCTCCTAGTAAGTGCATTTTATCGATACTGATTGTGGGGTGGCAATCAGACTTTAAGTGGAAATACATGTATATGCACCATCGTGTAGGTGATGTATGGGTATTCTAGTGGCGCTAGCATTGTGACTTACGTAAAAGAAAATATATATGTTGCACTCGAGTTTACCAAGTGTGCTGCTAGAACAGCAGATAATGTATGCATATTTGATAGAAAATGGTACGGTTAGTAACAGAGCAACTTAGTGCCATACCCAAAATGTATGAAGCATTTTTCAAAACGCCCATATTTTATGCTAAATAACACATACATTGGCCCCACATTATTAAAAGATACAAATTAGGCAGAGATAAATTTATTTTAATGAAAATACTTATATATGTGTAGTACTTGTCTGATTTTTTTAGTCACCAAAAAACCTCTAGTTTTATCCAAAATAAAATTTTAATCATGTTAATCATGTTTTCAATGTTTAAAAAAGAAAGATTAGATTTCATGGTATTTATTTTATGTTCAGTTGGCACAGATAGCTACGATCTATGAATAATGTCATAGTAGAAATATCAAAATGTAATTTTAAAAACTTTGAAGGATTCTGCATTGTAGACATTTTAATGCATTTTTTTGTTTAACAATAGCGAGTTATTTAATAACCCACTCCCCCAATAAAATTGTGTACATGTCTTAAAAACAAGCAAATAAATGTTTATTAATAACGTTTGCAATATCATGTTACGCTATGAATACAATACTTTCTATTTCATAAGTGATTTTTAAAAATGCAGAAATTTTAACTATTAAAGTTTTTTTCTGCAAGTGAAGTATTTCAAAGTAGATCTTTTGAAGTTTAGGTCCAAGCAATGATATATGAAGTGTTCCGTATAGCAAGTTATTATTTATTTGTACAAATGGATGACTTTCCTTAATTTATTGTCAGATTTGTGTTATTATGCCATCGAGAAGATTGAGTATTCGTTGTAATGTTAGTAATCAAGAAAGTGTATTTATGGATACATGTTGGGCGTGTATTAAGAAATAAAGTCTTGCCATGATTGCAATGGGGACATTTTGTCTGATGATGTAATTGAAATAATTGTGTGTAGTTCACATGTGCAGCTTGTTTGTATGTGTTAACAAATGTCTTGGTACGGTCAAACACTCTAAACACAAGTACCTAGTGCAGGGGTGAGATTTTTCACATTTTTTTTTAGATTTCAGAGTTTTGTTGTCGGGAGTTTTCCTGATTTGGGGATTTTCTTTGTTTATAAGAATCCCTTTTGAAATCTGGAATCCCCAAGGTTTTTAACCTGAAGGTGTTTTTTCCCTTTGAAAATTCACATAGAAAACAAGCTTGATCGGAAATACCTCGGAAGCTGCTGCCAACGGATTTGTGTTCATGCATGAGTCACCTGAATTCTCAAACCCTCTGCTGATTATTTCATGGATTTTTCCTTTTTCCCAAATCTCACTCGTTGGCAAAGAGAACAATGTTGTATTCAAGTCCATATCCGAGTCCCAAAATAGACTGAAATTTAACAATAAATATAGCAGGTATCAAGTCTTAAGCATCGAGGCTGAACTGACTGAGTACTTTGAATGAGAAGGAATATGAAGGTCATTTTATAAATTTGGGGTCCGGATTTTTGTTCCTGTCCCTGTTACAATGATGATTCTATAATTTGGATGCACTTAATGCAATCGTCCGCCAAGAGTGATTATGAATAGCAAACGACCTACTCAACAAACATTTGAAGTCATTCTTAATGATACTTGAATGGCAATAAGTACCAAGGTAACAGGGACCTTCGGGAATTGGGGACCATAATTGTCCTCTATTGTTCAATGTCCCCAATTGGATGCAGAAATAAACTCAAGTGTTTCCTGTGCAATAGTGCACATAAATGTTTGCATTGGAATGATGCACAAACCCATAGGTGCACTGTAGCACCTGATGCACTATAGCAATGGTGTTCAAGTGTATGTCATGTAATAACATACACTATAATGTATTGTAGTAGGCTCAAGAACAGGCTCTATTCAAGCGGTGGATCGGAGGGGGGGGGGGGTAGCAAATGCCTGCAACCCCCCCCCCCCTTTAACAACTAAACCCCCTCTTGATCCTGGATCCACCCCTGTACAATTTGGTGATCATGTGATCATCAAAACATATTGGAGGTCTTCCTAAAAAGTACAGCAAAAGAGGGACAATAGGGGTCCCCGAATGGAGGCAAATACACACTTGTTTGTATGCATGTGGTGTGTCCCATACACAAACACCCTTCATTCACTGTTCCTGCATGAATTCCATAATAGGTGCCAACAGAATTTCAATGGAATTGTTTATTTTCCCGTGACCAACATTTATAAAATTTCTCCCACGAGTTTAACTGCACCAGGATTATTTTTGAGACAAATGTTATAAAGGTGAAAATGAAATGAATGATTTCTATTGGGTGTTATTGTTTTGTCAAGCCAGGGAACTTGATATTTTTGATCAATGTGAAGCTTTTTAATGGAACAGTAATAATTAAACTGTGGTAAGTGTTGGAAGCTAACTTCGCACAGTTGCCACAACGCAGGAAACTTTGCTCTGTCATACCTGGACACAGACCAAAACATCACATACATGTGTTGTGGTAAGTGCTTGGCTGAATTGTGCTCAGCCAGTTAATTTGTCAAGCAGTATTCTTTGATATCACCATCACCGACTGGTCCAAATTGGCAGAGTGCCACTTGGGCTTTCAACTGTGATGTTTTACTGCAGGCTGCAACAATTAAAACACCCCCCCCCCCAAACAAACGCACAAACAACCCCACTATAGGCTTACTTTGTATTGTTCTTCCTGGACTTTTTTTTGGAGGAGATTTCTTTTCACATCATGTGGTGTCCCCTTGGCAAAACCAGATGTTCCAAGAATCAATAAAATGGAATTCCATTCATGCAAAAAAAATATCACGAACTCGATAATCATAGCTAATCCAATAGACCAGCACATTGGTGGAATAAAAGAAAATCACGCCCCCACCTTCTATGAAAAATAGGATCAAAAATCTGCATGACAATAGTAACAATAAACTGGTATATGAGCTTGTTCTGGATGGTTCTTTGTGAAACTCGATCTATTTTATGAGCACAATGCCACAAACATTATGTATTAACTCGGAAAGGTAGGAACAGTCCATTTTGTTGGTTATGGGTTGCTGGTGTGTTGCCATGGTGTCCAAATTCCAGGTTTTATCATTTGTGGTTGCTAGGGGCCAGTGCCTGACCGGTAATGACTACAACAATTTCTTTAAGACTT